TTTTTTTGCTCTGAATGCCCTAAGGCGTGGTTTGGCTGGCAGGAGTGTTGTGGGGATCGAACTCCAGCAACCTGAGGCTGACAGCTTTGTGGAAGCTGCCACTTAAACAACTGAGCTAAGGCCAGGCCCCCCCAGCATTATGAACTTAAAATGATTTAAGCCAGGAATGTTGGCGCAGGCCTGTCTCGATAAAATTTTAAAAATGAAAAGATTCAGTTAGGGAGAATGTATTCTTCCCACCAGAAAAGTACCTTTGTTCGTTCTGTTCTGTGAGTTCCAGATAGTAATTTGATTTTCGCCACTCAGCACATGTGTACGGGTGGATTAAAAGAAAACAGGAGGAGCCTCACACGCACTGTCTGTGTCCTGGGGGCTTGGGATGGCGACGAGCTGTCCAGGGATTTCCCAGTTAGTATGTTCTTTATGGTGCATATTTAAAGTACAGCCACCCTGGCGTGCAGGAGCGCTGCCCATACTTACCCTAGCTCACTTAAATAATTGATCCACCTCAGGCCCACTTTCCCGTCCACTGTCAGGGCCAACCTGAGGATTTGGTGGAGCTGTGCAGGCCTGAGTTCGGCTGCCATCCCGGATGCCCCCAGGTCCTGTGCTCAGCAGGGGCTCCATAGCTGTGCCCCACCCCACCTCCTTCGAGCCACAGAGCATTCGTTCATTCCTAGTGTTCAAGAGAAGCCAAGATGGAAGCTGCCTGCCTCTTCCTCTCTTGTCAAAGTCACATTCTTTTTGTTTTTAAAACAGGATCTCAGGGCCAGGGAGATGGCTCAGCAGAATAAGTGCTTCCCTGGCAAGGATAAGGGCCTGAGTTCAATCCCAGGTTCCACCAAAATAAATAGAGTAAAAATAAAACAGGGTCTTACTATTTAGCCCAGGCTGGCCTTCGACTAAAGAATCCTGCCTCAGCCTCCCAAGAGCAGAGCTGGGATTACAGGTGTCTGTCACCGGTCACCATGACCAGTGAGGTCACACTGTGAAAAGGGTGCCTAAGCAACTTCGTTTAACTCTAGCTTTTCGTGCAGAAAATACGCAAGGGGACAATATTACTCCTTCCGCCTTTTATGTTCACAAGAGTGTCTAAGTTACTTTCCCAGTACACACTCAAGAAATCCAGATTTTTAAAAGGGAATTTTTGTGTGTGCGCGCGCGCGCCACTGTGTGCCCTCGGTATGGGGCAGGTGTCTTATTTTCCCCATTTTACCAGTGGACACTTAGACTGGTGCTCGGGGCGACAGCGCGGTCCCTTTGGGACAGGTCGCGCTGCGCAGGATGCCGCCTGGTGGCCCCAAGGACGGAAGCCGCCGTCGCGGGAGAGCGCGTGGACACAGAGCAGCGCCCGCCAGCTCCGGGGACGCGGGGCTCTGTCGCCGGCCGCCAAGGGCGCAAGGTCCTCGGCCGGAGGGGGCGCAGACGCGGGCCGGGCGGGACCCCGGCCAGGGCGGTATTGCAGCAGCGCGACCCGCGAGGGGAGCCGAGACCCGCCCGCCCCCAGCCCGCGCGCTCCGGGTCTCCACGGCGTCCGCACGAGCGCCGCGTCCCGGACGGGCTGCGGGGTCCACACTCGTAGTCGCACAGAACGCGGTAACTCCCTTCCCGGAAACGCAGCTCTTGAGACGCGAGCGCGGCACCCGCTGGTTGCCAGGGAAACGGCCCCCTCAGGGACCGCTGCGTGACCGTGGTGGCCGCGAGGGGGCGACACAGCCCAGGCGGGAGGAGCGGGCACCTGCATCCAGCCGGGCGCCCCCTCGCGCACGCTAGTGCCACGAGCCGAGCGCGCACTGAGTCCCGGGGGCGGGGAGAAGGGGACGAAAACAGCCCCAGCCGGGCGGACTCGCTCGGAGCCGGAGCCGGGCTGCCTGCGGTGTCCGCGCCGACCTGCGAGGTGCACCGGGGAGACTCGGGAGCCGCGCAGAGCGCTCCGCGCGTGCGCCACGTTGCAGTAAGAGCGGGTAGGGAGGGAGGAGGGTGTGATGGGTGTGGTGTGTGTGAGCGGTGTGCGGTGTGTGGGGACCATGCAACAGAGGGCAGGCGTGCAAAGGCCCTGGGGCCAACAGCGGGAAGTGATGTGCGACAGCTGTGGACAGTGCTGATGCCTTGAGGTCCCCAAAGGCCTCTGACCTTTCCTGGGGACAAACAAGTGGAGGCGCGGTTAGACCTGAACCCTGGACCGAAGTCAAAACTCCTCTGTGGTAGGGTCCGCATTCTCACGAGAATTCCTTCCGGGGGACTTGTCCATCCTCCGTCGGTCCAGATATCTGTTTGAGGAATCTTCAAAGCTGGCCCCTTGGCTGTACCTATAACCGCAGCACTCAGTAGGCTGAGGCAGGAGGATCACAAGTCCAATGAGGCGGCCTGTGCAGCTGAGCTGAAACCCTCGGCTTCCAAGAGCAGAAACTATTGGAAAGGGTGGCGCTCAGCACGCCTGGCTCCATGGGCAGTGGCTGTGGACAGATGGAGCCTGCGCTGAACGCTGCTGCCAGGCCTGGAGCCAGGGGGCTGGGAGGGGGGGAAGGTGGGGAGTGGCTGTCACAGCTCTGAGGATCTGAGGCGCAGTTAGCAACGGAATGGGGGGAGTTTAGGTTGTGTGTTTTTAAAAAACCATAATTGCAAAAGTGAGCACGGTTCATGCACCAAATATACAGCTAGCGGGATTAGGGTCGGCCGGAATCCCACAGCCGGGCAGCCACAGAGCCAGAGTGTGCCCTGGGGTAGGCTGGGTGGGGTCCTTGCAAAACAAAAAAACCCTGGGGAAAAGAGCTGTCCTTGGTGCCAATGGCACCGCCTGTCCTCATGCACCCTAGGAGGCTGAGGCAAGAGGATCCAAAGTGCAAGTCTGTCTCAAAATAAAAAATTGGTTAAAAACCTGGGGATGTGGCTCAGCAGGAAGACCCTGGCTTCCACCGCACTACAGCGTAGAGGGAAAAGCAAGGCTGAGGTGCAGTGGTGGCAAAGGTTGGGGCCAACGGGGAGCCAGCGAGGTCACAGCCTGCCCCAAATGGCCCAGAGGGCCTGGGGCCTGTGAGATAAGACTAGGGCCTGCTTCGCGTGGATGTGTCACCCTTGACGCCTGGCTGTGTGCTCAAGACTTGCTGTGAGACTGCCTCCTGCTGGGTCACCACCCTGCTGCACACAGCTGCCCCTTAGCTGGTCCTCACGCCCGGGTGGCAGCTGCTGCCCCTGTCGCTGACCCCGATGACCCTCCTGGGCTCAGACCATTGGTGAAAGAGAGACTGTCGCATGCCACCGGCACCATCGTTTGCCTGATATTTTCCCATGAATAAACTCATGCTTGTAATAAAGAAAAAGGGAGTCAGTGTGCTATCAAAGAAAATCTTACATCAGAACCACATTTAGGAGCTGGGGAGATGGCTCAGTAGAATGCACTTGCCTGGCAAGTGCAAGGTCCTGAGTTCAATCCCCAGTACCACCAAACACACACACACACACACACACACACACACACACACACACTTAGAAAATCAGCCAGGCATGGTGGCATAAACCTGTAATCCCAGCACTCAGGAGGCTGAGACAGAAGGGCCACTGCGAGTTTAAGTTCAATCTGGGCTACAAAGTGAGCTCAAGGTCAGCCTGCACTATACAGTGATACCCAGTCACAAGACAAACAAACAAAATTTTTAAAAATATATTTTAATTAGGAAAAGAAATTTGTACCCCAATAGAAAGGAAGTTAAAAGTGTGACTGTCTAACTTTTTTTGTCTTTTTGAGACTGAGTCTCACTATGCAGCTCAGGCTGGCCTTGAACCCACGTTGTAGCCCAGGCTGGTCTCAAACTTGCACTGATCCTCCTGCCTCAGCCTCCTGAGTGCTGGGATTATAGGCATGTGCCACTGCGCATGGCTTAGACTTTTTAAAAGTTTGTGTCCCTTTGTTCATTGAAAATAGTGGTTTAGGAGAGTGTGTGAGCAGAGGGAGACGTCACACACCTGCACACACACACACACACTCCCCCCACAGGTCTTTCTGGGATGCCGCCCCGTGTTCGGGAGCTTCTGCCAACATCCCCAGCTCCTGACACACACCTGAGTTGGTCCTAGAGCCCCTCTCTGTCAGCTGGGACACTTTCAACAGCAGT